CCCGCCGAAAACAGCCAGGATCTCACCTGGCATGGCAGCGAGCCAGGCACCGGCTGGCATCTGTACTACGGGTATCTCACAGTCTCACCTCACAAACCAGAAGAAAGGTGTCGGACAAAAGAAATACACAAAACAGCAAACTAATTAACTTCAGAAGACTGAACAAGGATTTTGAGATGAACCTCATTGAGCATACATTGACTGAGTTTTCACTGAGAGGTCTGTCAGCTTCTTCAGCTGGCAAACATGAGTAGCAGCATAATTCAGGTGCGCAGCCAGGGTGTAGTTATGCCCGCTCAGGAGAATTTCAGCAATAAATTCATAAACCTTTGGTCAGGAGGTGAACAGCCTAGTCAGCTGCAATGACATTCAGAAAGGTGCAAGCAGCCAAGTGTTCTCCCTGACAGACAAGCGAACACGCCACGGGAGATGTGCAAGCAATGCCTTTTCTGAGACTATTCAGAGGCACCAACTTCCTCGCACACTTCATTACTTTTTAAAAGCCTTTATATGCTGTGGCAAACGGACTTTTATTTTCAGCTTCTTGACTTTGATTTAATTTAATATGCCTCATTTGTTTTCACGGTACTGAATTTTACGGGTGCTTACATTTAAGGTGCACTACCGTATTTAACCAAATAAGAGCTATAATTATCAAAACATACTTTTCTAGAGAGCGTAAGTTAAGAATACGCATGCCAGACATGCTGGCAGACACGAAGCATGCCATCAGGCAAGATGAGAAACCAGACACAGATTTTTCCTCACAAAATCTAGAAAACTGCTCAGAAACACCTTTGAGCGAGCACAAACACAGCTCACCACAGCAAACTGAAATTAAACCCAACTCAAGTCTCAAAGGTATTTAGATATCTAATTTGTTAGGGAACAAGTGGGAAAGAGCCACAGATGCATTTGGCAATTTGGTTCTAGAGCTGCTGTTTCTTCTCAAACCTCTCCTTTTTTTGTGGTGAGAGCGTATATGGGTTTAGATACATGACAAATCATAGAATCATAGAATGTTTTGGGTTGGAAGGGACCCCTAGAGGTCATCTAGTCCAACCCCCCCGCAGGAGCAGGGACACCGCTAACTAGATCAGGTTGCTCAGAGCCCCGTCCAACCTGGCCTTGAATGCTTCCAGGGATGGGGCCTCCACCACCTCTCTGGGCAAGCCGTTCCAGTGTTTCTCCACCCTCATTGTAGAGAATTTCTTCCTTATATCTAGTCTAAACCTACCCTGGTTTAGTTTAAAACCAAACAGAACATAACGTCCAGCTGAGTTGCCAAATAATACTATTCCATCCTTTTACAAGATTATACAAACACTTTTTGTATTAAAAAATAAAGGGAAAAATCAGAAGCTTTATGAATTCCCTGCACTACCCCTCGGGCACAAGGAAAGCAGACTCGACATCTCCAATATCTCGTTTTAAAAGGGGTGTTCCCAGGCAACAAATGCAAACTGCAAAGCAGTATTATTTTCGAGTAATTCTGAAGACATTTTTGAAAACAGCTGCAAGAATGATGTTCAAGTACGTTAATGATCAGGTTTTTAAAAACACCTGTCACTGTATACATCAGGCCAAGCTCAGCAATAAGGACAAGGCTTTTACAACAGCACCAATCTGACACACCTTCACCCCTCATGCTGCTTTGCTATTGTCTAACCGAGACACAATGCAGCTGTTGAAGAACAACGCAGCAAATTGTCACAGCTCAGAAAAACTGTCCCTCTGCAAAAGCAACACTTGCTGGGCGGTCATTTAGCACGAGGAAGAAAAAGACCTTCCATGTATCCGACTCTGTACCTTGGTTAAGGGGCTATAGGGGGACAGCTGGCTCATTAGCGCGCCTGTAACATGCGGACTATCTGCTTGAACTCTTCTTTCTGCACAAACCGCTTCTTTGCGTCATCCTCGCGCTGATCTAAACCCGACTAGCAAACCTTCCACCCCAGCACGCTGCTTCATCCCCGGGGTGAAGCCAGAAGCCACGACGCCCCCCCCAGCATTATTCTCCAAGCGATTTGCAGCGGCCGCGTTGGGCAGAGAAGCAGGCGGGGGTCGACCCCGGGGAAGGGGAGCCCAGCGAACGCCCCCAGTGCACAC